ATTTGTGTTAAAAAAAATATATAGGTAGCAGAAAAGTGTGTCTATTATACTGCCATTTATTTAAAAGTGAGGAAAAATGCATTTGTTTATATGTGCTTAAAATATATACATATACACACATATATATATATGTGTGTGTGTGTGTATATATATATATACTTATACATATATATATATACACATATTATACACCTCCTTTGATTTCTGGTTTGTTTTTCTAAAGTGGATCAAGACCCTAAAGATACTTATGAACCAATTTGGTTGCAAGAATTGTAGATTTTCCCCTCAATCTTTCATATGTGGCTAAGATTTACTCTCTTAGCAAGTTTCAGTATTAACTACCTTTTTCAATATTTTTCAAGAATTTAACTGTATTTTCATAGAAATGACCATTTTATACTATATTGGTTTAGGTAATATATACTTAAATTAGGTTATTAACAATAAAACTGTTATAACAAATTTGAGGGTAAACACAGCTGACTCTTGATAAGTAAACAACTCGACTGGTGATAACAGAAGTGCTTGGGCTACTCAGAGTAACCTTGTGGCCTTGAGAGACTGGTGGCCCTGGACATCAGCCAGACAGACTGTTTACAGAGGAAGTGGAGAGCATCGGGATCTCGTACATCAAATTTCTACACTAATACAAATCAGAGGTTTCTAAGTGAGTGGGGGCCCTCCTTTCTCCCCACCTCCTCTATCCCCCTCTTTAAACTCCATGCTGTAGAGAGCAACTGTTTATCATAGGAGGTGCCTGATCCCTTGGGTATATTGCAACAGAAAAATCATTGAAAGAACTGGTATAAATTTCAGTTGTAAAGAATAATTAATGTTGTGACATTTTTCTTATTGCCAAACTGAATTATTTATTTGAAAAGTTGCTGATGCATTTATGTCATTTACAGCTCTCTAAGCCCATATTTATTATTATTAAAGCATAAAACAATGGGAACTTAAAAACTAGTTAAGGCCCAGTGATAGAAATTAACACTAAAGAAAGCCTTTTTTTTTAAAGTGGGCTTAAGGCATCGAGTGATACACTCCTGGGGGGTAAGGTGAATGTAGTGCCAGAATTTTCACTTCCCCTCTCCCAACCTTTTTATCTGCTTATTTGTCAGTTATCGACATAAGATTTTTTTGAAAAAGAACAAATCACCTCAGCTTGAAAAATAATAATAGTTAAAATGAAAAATGAAAACCACAAACCACTGTTCCAGTCCAGTTAGTGTTGCCATATTTAGTGATTAAAAATATAGGACACAGTTATTTTATCTGGCATTTATTTTGTTTTATCTGGCTACCCTAGTCCAGATTCTCTTAGACTAGTGCAGAAAACAAACCCTAGAAGCCTTGAGAGATTAAAAGCCATCTACAAGGGCACACAAGTAGTTATTTGGTGGTAAGATAGGCAATGAGATACAGTGTTTTAGGGAAACCCACGTCTATGGGTGAAAATGCATGTCACTCTCTTAGGTCTCCGTGGACTATGGCTTTGGTTTGTTACTGCTTATCACAACTCAGGTCTCTGTGGCCAATGAAAGTGGAGTATTTTCATAACCACTTGTGGGTATCTCAGAAAATTCTCTGTGTTCCGAAGTTCACTCTGCGTTACTGGAGGACACCATGGAGAGTGAACTTTGGGGAGGCACTGAACTTTGGTTGGCTCTCCTGCTCTGCCTCAGGAGTCCTCACCCCCTCAGTCTCTCATTCATTCAACTCATATCAGTGAGCATCTCCTAAGAGACGTAGTCTAGCTGAGCCGCTAAGAGCACAACCTCTGACTGGGAAGCATTAGACAACTCTACTGCTCCATCTTTGTTTTAGCATTTGCAAAATGGGGTATAATAGTATGTCTCATCAAGTTATTATGAAGATTAAATGAGTAAGTTCATGTCAAGTGCTTCAAACAATTTCTAGCATATAGTGAGCCCTCAATAAATGTGAGAGGGCAGCAGCAGAGGTGAAGATTGTGCCATGTAGCATTCTGACATTTTGCTACCTGTTTCTGCAGTAACTTTCAAGTCAGGCCTATACCAGGGTATGGAGTCCCCTAAGTTTTAGAGACAGTGGAGTTTTCCAAAAACTTTTATTTTTCAATTCCTTTCATTTTCACAGAAACATGGGCACAGTGAAGCTCAGGCTGATTTAGATGCCTTTCCCAGATCTAATGAGGGAAACTTACAGTTCTTCCCTGTGAGATATTATAACTTCAAATCAGATAGATTTGGGGTTGAGCCCAGGCGGAAGCCATGTGACTCTGAAAAGAGTAATTTACTTTATTACTTTCCATTTCTCATCTGTGAAATGGAGTAATAATACAAATTTTGCCATTGGCAAGAATTAAAATAATTATGATGCTAACAGTACACAACACTTACATAGAACATGCTTTGTGCCATTTTCCTAAGCACCTTACATCAGTTAACTTATTTAATATATATAAACAAAGAGATGTCCGATAAATTATATTACATATAATATATGTAATAATCATTGTTTATAATAATAATAATTATTATTATTGTTATTGTTATTATTCCACCATGGTTCATGGCAGTTAAGGTTTTAAATTTATCCACAACATTAAGGGGGTACAGCATTTCTAGAGTTATTAAAAATGATAAGTATTTGGCTAAGTTCAGAGATCATCATATGTTTTCCCATTGTTTTGTAGGGTTACTTTGGAGCTGTTGGGGCACTGTTGGAACTGTTCAAAATGACTGATGACCAGTAGAGATGAGCCATAGATGGAACAGCCTTCTGTGATAACAGAGACCTGAAAACTGCTGCTAGAGAAGGTGAAAGCCACTGTGGGGACAGAAGCCAAGCCATTCATGGCAGATGCACCTGCTGGATTTGTAAATAATTTAAAATCCTTCGAGCTGATCTTTTACTCTTGAGTCTTGAGCTTATGATTCAAAATGGGGAATACAAGAGTTTTTTCTGTATACTGTATTTTTAAAAACAAACAAAACATTTGTGCAGCGTGGCCAAACCTACCAATTTTTGCATTAACTTTGAAAAGTTGTATGATGTTTAAAAAGGACCTGAAATGTAAGTGCTGTTTATTTTTCTTCTGGGGTTTACTGATCAGTGTGGTGATTTTAAATTTGTTTAGTAATTACTCTAGGAGATTTTACCTTTACTTATATTTTTCATGACGTTTCATGATTTGCTGTTGGTTTCAAATGAAACTACAAATCTGGCATGTTTTACTGTGAACACTATTTTGTTTGTTTGTTTACCTTTTTTGTCTTTTTTTTTTTTTCTGGTTGAATGTCTTGTGGGAAAAGAGTCTTTCCCTCTGTCTGTTCTTGGATGACTCCTCCTCCCTACCATACCTTCCTTTCATATAATTGTTCATATTACTCAAGGTGCTGTCCAACTCTATACAAAGTTAAGTACGAGATCTCAAAAGCTCTCAAAAATGCTCTTGAGGGGAAAACTCTGAAAGTGCTCATGAATTTAATGAGTCTGGAGAAAGTTGAAAATTATATGCAATTTTGTATTATCCCTTATGGATATGCAGTGTTTTGTTGGGGTTATTTTATGTTAAATTGAAATGTTCTATGATGAAATGTCCACATCCATGCACAGCATATGAATGGCAGCAAATCCTGTGCAGGACATTGAAATTTACAGGGCAAAGTCTCCCAGTAGATTAACTGTTCATATTTGGTTAGAGCAGGAGGTTTAGGAGAAGATATAGGTTGAGGTGTCAGGCAGTAATACCTATTTGTTTTGTACATGTATGTACCTAGGAGCTTTGTAACGAGGCATCTTAAATAATAATAATTTTTTTTTTTAATTTGAAATATTTTAAACTAAAAACTATTTCAATCCCAGTTTCTCAAATTAAAAAATTATGATACTGATCTCTCTCTATATTTTTTTCTTTTTGAAAGACATCATTGGGACCTATGGGTAACTTTCAAGTGTGAATCTTGTACAAATATTAAAATGCTTGGGATCTAATGATTTAGAACTATTAAATCTTTTGAATTGAGCATATTGTTGAAGGGGATTTTGGAAGGGCAGTGCATTGCTCCATGATGAATCTTTCCTTCTCTGCCGTCTGTGCACCACCTTTAATTTCCATATCTTCAAGTCTTGAAGAAGTTGATGTTAATTGAAGTATTCACTTGTCTGGTTGAAATAAAGCCTGTTTCTGTTGTGATTTATTTAGCGTATATGTTATTCTCATTTCTTAATCTTCATGTTCATATTACTGCTTTTGTACCATAAAATGAATGTCTGTTATATTTTTGCTAACTCAACATTTCATAATTTGAGGTTGTCACATAAGTGTGGTAAAGTCCAAAACACTGTCTTAAGTTGAAGCTGTAGCTCTATGCAGGGATTTCTTTTTTTTTTTAATATATGGTTTTATTTTTCTTATACAACTAACTCCTTATTCCCAAAATATCACTACAATATTTGGTAATTCCAAAAGAGTTTCAAAATTTGATCATCACAAATACATATTATCCACTCATGCCTGGCTTAAAAAAATTCGAGCAACTAAGATGTTCTTGAAAAAGATAACTGTAAAAAATCTACACATTATCGATGATAGTGCCTTTTTGATTGTTCTCTTCTACTATTCCTGTTCTCATCTGTCAGGGAATAACACACTTTGGATCATGGTTCTGCGAAAGAAATCAGGGCAAGTTGGTGTGACTAATTTTTTAGTTATCTGGAATTACTTGACCTCTCATTACAAATGTTTAAAATGTTGGTTTAGCTAAGGAAATAAATTATTTTGTTATGCAATATCAGTGAAATGTTGGCTACATGTAGCCTGAGGATTTTTATATTTACTTGAATTACAGAAACTTTCCTGTGGCTTAACATCACAAAGAATTTTTATCTTGAACTATATGAAGTCAGCATGGTTGCCAGGTCGTCCAGAACATGGCTTTTGATTGCCTGACAGCTTCAGTTTGGATCTAGCTCAGCCATTGCCTAGCTATGCGGACAATTTGCTAACCCTCTCACTAAGCCCTAGTTTCCTCACTCAAAATGGGGCAAACAGTACTTTTCACCTCCATATTTAAAGAGATTAACACAAGGACTGGCATATAGTAAATGCTTCATTGATGTTAGCTGTACTGAAAAGAAAATAGATATTTTAAACAAATTGTGTTAAACCAGTGATTTTTAACCTTCTGGAATGTGGGCAACCAATTTTAGCACAGAGATACTTCACAGTTCTCCTTCTGCTAGTTCATGTCTACAGCCCATGTCTACAATTCCAAAATCCTAAACTCATCAGGTTATCTTGATAACTCACTTGACAGAAAAATTGACTTGAGCATTATTTATCACACTTGTAGGACTCTTCACATGTTTTGTTGCAAAGCTATTAATATGTTTGATTACAAAGGACTGCCCCAGACTCTACTCAGGGTTTTAAGTAGTGAACAATTCTGAATTTTGAAGTATGTCTGGTCTCAAGAGTTTTAGATAAAGGGATAGTGGAAATATAGTTGTATTCTTCAGCTTATGAAGTATATACATGGATTCAGAGTCTCTTTCTTGGAAAACGTTGTTACAGGTAATTTATACTTGACATCATTCAGTCATACAAGGAATATTAAGAAGTTATTTTGTGTGTAGAAGGAGCTAAGGAGGCTAGGAGGTATTGGATACAGCCCCTGCTGTCCAGCAGGGAGAGGACAGAAGTCTTAAGCCAACTTGGGTAATAAAGTGTCACCGGTGTCATTCATTCATTCATTCATTCACAAATATTTATAGCAGTGAACAAAACAAAGACCCATCCTCACAGAGCTTACATTCTAGAAGGGGAGGCAGAAACAATACGAATTATATGATAAACTATTAGATCAGTACTACAAGGATAAAGTAAGGTAGGCTAAAGTAGCCTGGCTAGAGCGGGGGTTAGTTCTGCCTAGAAACTGAGAAGGGGGAAACTTCTTTGGTTAGAGCGGTCAGAGACAACATCTCCTAGGAGGTGACATGAGCAGAATCGAAGTAAGTTGGGAGCGCATATAAATACCTGCAAGAAAATATTTTGCTCCTGACAAATGAGAATGGAGGTTTTGAGGAAGTGCAAGGAGGTCAGTGTGCCTGGAGTAAACAAAAGGAAGGAAGAGCCATGAGAAATGCAGTTTTATGCATGGCCATGGGTCAGGTCTTATACAAAATCTGTAAGTGAGGGTAGAAGGCTGCACTTGAAAGAGGGATTGATCACTCTTCTGGAGGAGAGGGCTAGAAAAGTTTTCAGAATCTTAACCAGGAAGTAGAGACTGCAAAGTGGACCAAGAGGGGAAGGCTTCCCAAACAGAGAAGTATTGCAAGAAGAAACAGCCTGGCTTATTCGGGGAACTGGAAGCTATTTGCTTCCGCTGGAGCTTGGTTAGTGAGAAAGAAACCAGATTATGGAAGGACTCATATTCCATGTTGAAGATTTTGGTCTTTGCTGTAGTCAATGTGGAGCCATCAAACAGTTTCAAGTAAAGGGAAACTAGAATTAATCCAGCCTCAAAGTGATAAGCAAAATGTCCTACTGAGGTAAATGAGTAAACCAGTTACTGTGCTTTTGAATAAATAACATGATTCCATGATCATGTTTACTTTGTTGCCTCTGTTGTGCCAAAGCTCTTGAAGCAGCAGCTTAGTGAACCACATTTCTCTGTAACTAAGATGGTTATATAAACTCTTAAGAGTTTCCCCACAGGACAAAGGCTACTTTACTTATTAATAGCTGCAACTCTACTATGATTCTTTCAGTGAGTAGAAAGGTTTCAACACCATAAGCTCCATTATTCATGAGAATTGTTTGGGGAGAAGGCACTTTTCCTCCCATTGATCAGAAGATGACTTCAAATTTGTGTGGAAGATTTAATTAATGCACATATTCTGATGGGTCTACCAAGTGTTTGTTCATTCACTCTTTATCTATTTAATTTTGCCTGAATGCCTATGATCCGGAAGGCACTCGATACCATTTAGGATCCATTCAGTTGTGAATATGACAACATGGTCCCTGCTTTCACTGGGCTTACATTCTAGTGAGGTAGATAGACTTATAACACAAAATAATTAATAAACAAAAATAAAAGATAGTGATAAATGCTACGAAGGAAAGAAATAGGGTGATATGATAGGAAGAAAAAAGACTCAGATGGCATGCGATACAAATATGAATAAGTTACGGCCTCAGCTTTTGAAGAATGACAAGTTCATCTTGCTTTCATTACTACCTCAATGGAAATGAAAGATGTTTTTGGGAAACAGTTTATTAAGTAACTTATTTTCTTTTTATTTTACTTAGACTAGTTTGCATACATACTTATATATTACATTAAATAATAATTTAGTAATGCACTTTTTTTTACTAGTCACTAAACAATATTTGAACTGCACTTAAATCTTCATTGTCAATGCCTTTGTTATGACCAGTCATTTAGTAGTGTCTAGAATACACCAAGTTTGACACTTTTGAATATATGATATTGACACTGGATTCTTTTTAACCAAGTCACATCACCTACCTACTCCCATTATGAGCTGGATTGTTCGTTTCATTTTCCAAAAGGTGTTTATTGTTGATGCCACAGTGTAACCATTTATGTGGAGCCTTTTTTTAAAAAAGGTAGTTTATAAGTATTCATCAATTGCAATACAAAAATAAAAGAAAATTTGTATTAAAACTCTTTGCCTCTTTTTATACTCACTCTATCAGGTAAGCATTAAATATTCCAAGCTAGAATTAATTGATGTTTCAGTTAATGTCACCAAATAATTCTCAACTGGTCCCCAGTAAGAATTCATCTTTTTTTCAAAGTTATGTATTTAAAAAAAGAATTTAACAAGTTTTACATGCACATAATCTGAAAAGTCAAAGTTCCCACAAGACTGAAAAATAGCAGTACCCATGTTTTTTTCTTTTTTCTTTCATCATTGAGTATAGCAGCTTTCCAGAAAAGGGTAGAGTGATAAGGGAAAAGGTTTTTGAGTACTTGCATGTCTAAAAATTTCTAAAAGTATTTTTATTCCACCTTCATATCTGATTGATAGTGTGGCAAGGTATAGAATTTTAGGTTAGATATTTTTCTTCAGAAATCTGAAGGCCTAGTCCTATTATTGCCAAGCTTCCAGTATTGTGAGAAAGCCTGATACCATTCTGGCTCCTGATCTTTGTACATGACTATTTTCCTTCCTCCTTTTTGGAAGCTGTTAGAAACTTTTCAACCTCCAGTTTCAGTTCCAACATGTATTTTCAGCAGTATACCCTGTCTACAACTATGACAAATGTTAACCAACCCAAGAGTCTGGTTTTTATTTTAAATTTTGTTAGTTACTGCCAAATTGCCTTTCCAAAAAGTGTGAGTGTACACAAAGTAAACATTTTAATAGTGTCTGTTTTTCCATGTACCTTATAGTAGATATTTTCAACCTTTTCATCTTTGCCAATCTGATAGGTAAAAATGATATCTCATTTTAATTGCATGGAAAGTCTTTTAAGTTCTTTCTAATCATGAGGTTTGATTCTAATATTGGGAATTATAATTAATTTTTCAGGTCAAAAGAGCTTTCTTGCAATCTTAGGGAAGGCAGCACAGTTGAGTAAGTTAGCAAAACTCTGTAATGAACCTGCTTTGTTTGAGGCCTGTCTTTCAAGCTAGCTGTGTGACCTTAGGTGAGTTCCTTAACCTCTGAAAGCCTCAGTTAGCCCACCTATAATGTGGGGGCAAAATTAGTTCCTTCATTTAATTGTGAGGACTAAATGATAATGAAAAAGAGCTGTAAACTGCCTGACTTAGGTTCTCAGGAAAAGTCAGGGATGGGCAGTCCCCAGAAAGGGAGCAGCCATTCTCCGGCCTCTGCTTCTGCCTCCAAAAGTTACAGGAGTATGACCTGCACATTGTCTTTTTTTTTTTTTTTTTTTTTACCTTTTGCAAATGCTGATTTTTTTTTTCATGAATGTGCAATTATTTTCTTTTTATGCAAGCTCTGTACTTATAACAGTATATTTAAGTACATTTAATTTTCAAATTGTCTCATTTATTAGTAATTTTATCCTCGCAGTATCCTAATGAATTAGGCAAACAGATAGTGTTATCTATACTTTACACTCAAGAAATCCAAGCCAAACAAAGCCAAAGCAACTTTTTTAGGTTAAGAGTAAGTTGGTAGCAGATCTTGAATGAAAATT